TTTGTTTTGTTTTTAACTTTTTTTCGTACATAATTTTACATGACGCCATTTGCAAAGTAGAGGTTTGGATAATTACGCCATTTGTAAAACAACATTTTCAAACACTTCGCCATCTGTAAATTACAGTACCCCATTTGCAAACGCCATTTGCAAATACCAACATTTTCATTTTTGGAGGTATCAAAAAGATAATAACACATATTTATACGAATTGGCAAGTTAAACTGCAATTTTACCAGAATGATGATGTTATTGTTTGGTTTCGTGATGAGATTTAACCTCTAAATAAAAAGGGCAGACATAACTCCTAAAAATGATCTCGTCATGACATTCGGTTAATGCTAATGTAATGAGCATCATACGTACAAATTGGTATATCATTCAACTATAAATCAAACTTTCTATAGCTTCCAGTGATTCGCATTTATTAATAATTATTTACATCAAGCAATTATATTTGTCAGTCAGTACATATGCACTCAAACTCATCAATTTAAGTAATATAATTTTTTTGTATACACTCAATAACACATGCTTTCCGATATATTTTTATAAAAGTAAAGAATCAAAGAATCTAGATGTCTCTTTGTGGATATTTTTATGCTTTTTATGCAATAGCTGGAAAGTACGAAAGACCGGTGGGGACATTTCAACTTCATGAATAATTATTCCCGATTACAGCTTCATGAATTCTCGATTTCAACTTCACGAATTCACGATTTCAACTTCATGAATTCACGATATCATCTTCACGAATTCAAGTTCGTGAATTCATGATTTCAAGTTCGTGAATTCACGATTTCAACGTCACGAATTCACGATTTCAACTTCACGAATTCACGATTTCAACTTTATGAATTCATGATTTTGAATTCACGAACTTGAAATCGTGAATTCACGAACTTGAATTCGTGAAGTTGAAATCGTGAATTTTCGAAGCTGAAATCGCGATTTCCGTATGTTGAAAAACGGGAATTCACGAAGTTTAAATTGTGAATTCATGAAGATGAAATCGGGAATTCATGAAGTTGAAATGGCCCTACCGGTCTTTCGTAGGAAAGGGTTTATGCTTACTTAGTAAGAGCATTGATTATGGCCAGCAGATGAACCCTTTACTTGAGAATGAGTTAGCGTAAGTTTGTGAAACTTAGTAGGACAAGGTCCTTGGTCATTTGATGACCCCTTTGATTTAAGGTCATATGTCAAAGTTCGAAGTCACAGTGGCATTTTGTGTAAACTTTTGTCACTACGGTAATAATAATATATAAAGAACTGATGAAGAAATCACTATGAATGACTTATCATGCTTTGAGCAGAAGTCTGAACGTCAGGCAAATTGCCGACTGTCTACTTAATTTTATATTCAATTATTAGCATGATAAATATACAAATAAATATTCGTTTTACAAGTTGCTGACGGGATATACGGACCGAAGCTCTGCGTATGTCATCAAGGCTATATTCCCCACTACATCTGGTCAGTACTGGAATAACGAATTTATAATAACGCAAATTAACATCACTTTTATAAGAAAACACTGGTCAAATTATTCAATATTTCTTAAATTGCCAATAACTTAGTAAGTTTTGGATGTTTCGTATTCAATATTGGGTAAAACTACCTTTAAGTAAATGCTGTCAAACTGAATTTGACCTTTATAAGACATTGAATTCTATTGTAAAAAAAATTTTTTTTTACAGAAGTTAGTTATTTCATTAATGGAAGGGTTTGATTAATTTTTGAACCTTACATTTGTCAGAGTGAGTTACCTTAAAACGACATTGACAGTTAAGGCGAAATAATTGAAATTTTGCTAAAATTGCGATAATTGTGATACTCATAGACTGACTTCATTACATTTGGACTAATAACCACTATAGATAAAACCATCAACTGGAGCAATTAAAAATTATCTTGACCTTTAAATGGCCCTGAGTTTTAAAGGCAATGCAAGTAACTGAATTTTCATAAAATTGGGCGAATGTTATTAATAAACAAATGTGATTGGTATTCCAACACTTTGAGCAAACCAACTAGTATCACCTTGACCTTTAAAGGCACGTAAACCACAAGAAAGGAGTACATTTTTCCTCTTCTCTAAAAAAGAAAAAATAGGAACCCCTAAAGAAAGACCAACACGGCAAAATTGAAAATGTTCGCAGGCTTGGTTTGTTTGAGCCTGTTCTTGACGGTACTGTCAAGTGAAAACTACCGTCCACGCCCCCTAGCACCGGCTTAAGCAGAATTCAACATTTAACATGAACTGGTAAAATTGACAATTTTGAAACATCCGAAGACGTCAAACACCTGTTTTTATTTTCTTTAAATACAAAGAACAATAGCATTTTATGATTATTTTATAAAGAAAGAAGCCATGAATGTGAAATAATTTGTCATCAGAGAAAGTGAAATTTTAACTTTCACACATAACACTAAATACTTAATTCCGAAATGCAAAAGAAGCAAATTAATATTGAGCTATATGTTCAATGAGTAACATTTTGAAAACTGTAACAGAACATCGAAGATAAAAAAATGTGAGAAAAAGTATTGTAATTGTTTAGGGTTAATGAGTTTAATACTGAAATTTATTTGAATTCCGTAAAACTAAATATGATGAAAGGCACATGACATTATACATTGTACCTACAAACGAATACATTTGTCCTTTAGACTGGCAAACATGAGATTTATAGCGTTTAAAAAATAGCTATAAAAAGTGCATACATACTAGATGATTATCTAGAATCACCTGGAAAAAGTTGCACTGAATAAACGATTATTTGTCATTAAAGTTACAAAGTTTTGCCATTTTAAACAAAAACAACGAATTCGTTATATTCGTATCTAACGTGCAAAAATCTTTTGAATTGTCGAACTCAAACTTAAGCAAGTAAACAGTAGCGTACATGTATACGTGACATATCACTGTGTGACCAGGTGTTGGCAAGAATATAGAAGATCGTCCTGAGGTGGTTCTCCGAGCTTAATGTAAAAATGTAAAGAGTATAAATCTTAAATTAGTGTTATCTATAAGTAATCTTAAATACAAAATCGCCTTTTATCAGTACTTTAATACTTTTGTTTGTTATGCGTTTAATAGAGAATAAAATGCTACTGTCTTTTGATATCAGTATTATCAGGCGAGACTGATATGGGCTAGAAGGGGCGAACCCGGTCTGTCAATAACAGGTCAGACACTCACATTGATATTTCCATAGACTTACATTATAAGAAATGGTCCCTAATCCTACCTTAAAATTGAGTTTTCATGCTAAAGAGGTGATTTTTCTAGCAGAATGAAATGCCTGACACATAAAAATGTTCCTGTTATATAGTGGTAGCCAACCTATTTTTTTGCAAAATGACTTCAAAGAGGATTACCCCCCATTTCATTGAAATTTTCTGCTGATCACAGGACTGACATACACTTTTTATAAATGCAAATATCCAAGTCAAAATTATCATAGAGACTCATGAAATATTTCATTTTCTTCAGAAAACAATGTAGTGTTACTTTTTAAATTAGTTTTTATACTTAAAAATACCCCATTCTCATCCAATCACCTCATGTATAAAGTGATTCATACGGTTTTCCCTGCACTTTTTTTTCAGCCAATCGCTGGCCATGTTACAATGCTATTCCCTGACCTAACAGCCGAGCCTGATAAAATTGATATCAAAAGACAGTAGCATGTTTTTCTGTTTATCTTGTAACACATACAAACTGTTAAAATTACAAAATAATCTACTTTTAGATAGCGAATTTCGTAGAAAGAGTCATTTTTGTTCAAAGAAATAATTCTTGAAAACGAATTCCTCCGTCCCTGAAACTTAGAATTTGTAAATGGCGGCCATTTTTCTTTCGATTCGAGATTATTTCCTGATACTAGATACAACGGAATGTATTACGATAACATTCTTACCTTTAAACATCGATCCAAAAAATCCATAAGAAAGCGATATCAGAATTGTTCGCTATTTTGTTTCCCCCTTCTGACGTAATGGAATACAACACCATGAATTTGCTGGATTTCATATTCAATATGACGTACACAATCGTTTCGAAATCATAATTCAATAAAATACTATTTGCTTTACATGTTTGAACAATTTAATCGTGTCTAAAACGATAAGAAATCAATCGTTGAAATGGGTCACTTCCGGGTTTTCAAGGTTTTATGGGCGCGGCCATTTTCAATATCTCGTGACAGGCGAGTTCTAAGAATTGATCTCACGAGACTTTCAGTTGACAAATCGTAATGATTCATACATCAAAGAAAGAAGGAAAAAATCCTGATTGGCTTAGGTCGTGTTTTGGAGGCGCCAAAGCGTATTTTGTTCTAAAATACTTGTAGAAAAAGTTTCTACCGGCCTACAATATGACATATTATTAATTCGAAATATTAAGAAAGAAATAAAAGCTTTACTTGCCTGTGAGTTTATTCAAAACTTGGTTTTCCTTAAGGCGCCTTCCGGCGCAATGTTTTTTAAGTTACCCACCGTGAAACGGAAGTGCAATTTCCTCCGAACAACAACAACAATTATGATCTGACACATAATTTCGCGATGTAAATAAACATGTAATTTATACATGTAGAACTGTATCACATTTATAGTTACACCTTTAACGTGTTTTATTGCTGTAAATATTATTTATTACTTATATTTTTTGTATATTTCTCGTGAAGACCTTAAAAAGTTTAATATTGTTTTGAAAAACATATTTTTTTTAACAGTTACTTAAATAGACTTGTTTAGATGGAGATGTACCTCATGCTTCATCATATGGGGTGTATATTTCTCAATTAATTAGATTTGCTAGGGCGTGCAGTCGTGTTGATGATTTTAATGAACGCATCTCCCTTCATTGCATTAATAAGACCAATAAATATATATTTTGTCTTAGGAACTAGCCCAACTCACTAAGAACAATCAGAGGGTTGGCAGATATGAGCACAATTGTGTTCGTGACTTTTAACTAGAAATATGTTACATCAAACCCGACAGAAAATTGCTTCTTAAGATTCTAAAAAAATGTTAAAAATCAGAGAACACTTGTTTGTTTTGATTAAATAATAATTCCACGGGGAAATAAACTTTGATTACTTTTATTAAGATAGTGCAATACACTTTGATTTTGTTTTATCCATTTTTGCTGTAATTTTTCTTTTTCAAACTGTACAAGAGCACCTGAGAAGAAGTTAAGAAAAGGTGCACTATTGAAAAGTTTACAACCAGTATTATCACTTTTAACTCTCACATGGTCACCTTTCTTTAATAGAGCAACGACAGTGAAAGAGTAAGATTTAACGTCATCTGGATCATGAACGTAACCGCGCGTGAGGTATTTATTTCCACAAAGGATTGCAAAGTGAAAATACTGATTTCTGTTAACACTAAGTTGTAGTGTAAACGAGTAAGTTCCAGGTACTGGTGCCGTGAAGATGCCTGTTGTATTGTTGTAACCATTGCCCTCATTAAATAATATTGTAGGGAATATAACAGTCTGATTGACTGCGTACGAAGTTGCTACCACATCTTTACTTGAAAACGCAATCATTTGTGTTTCTAAAATTAATCAACAAAAAAAAAAATAAGCAGTACATTTACATTTAAAAAATCTTCATGAATAAAAGTTTTTTTTCCAGAAAATAATCAGTACTTATAAAATACTATTTTCATCCTAAACCTTTGAAAAAGTCTTAAATAAATTTTCTGTTACTTATTTAAACTTATTTTTATTTCAACGCGCATATTCCCAATATGAATGTGTCAGATCGTAGTTTGAATAATAAGGGAAAAAAACGTTTTGTTTCAATAAGATTTCTGCAGTAAATTTAAAATATCTAATAATAAAATCAAAAATTGATCAAATCGAAAGTTAACAACTGCCAAACCAATATCTTACTACAAGGAGATAAGCTACATGATGTCACTTGAATTGAATTTCCATCACACAGACTTCCGGTCGATGAAGGTCTAGGATTTGAACAAGTTCTAGATCGCGACAACACACCAGTCCCGCATGTCACTGAACATGTACCCCAAACACCCCAGTCTGACCAACCTCCGTCTAATAAAGAATAAAATGAAATAACATTTTTTATTAAAATGAACACCTTAAAATTTAAGACACACTTAATTTCAGATAAACTCACACCTATCATTAAGGTTCAATAAACTTTCAAGCTACATTTCAAGAATAAAATGCTATGCTTGACAGACATATCGACGCATAAAATTAATCTACTTGGCAATGCATGCACACAAAAAAAAAAAAGAAGAAAAAAAGATCAACAAGGAAGTGCGGCGTTCAGTGAACGACAGAGGCTTTTTAGAGCAGGGCCTTTTTTTCTGTTCCTATACAATAACCAGTTCGGTACATGTATAATAAAAAAACGCACAAGTTAATCAGACTTACATATTGGTTCATTGCAGCTCCTATTTTACAATGATACAAACTGCCTGTATGTAAAAATGTATATAAGTATTCAAAGTATCACTTAATTAAGTATTAGTTATTGGTTATATATTACATTTTATGGAATTTATTGTGGGCGAAGCTGAAGGCGTAGCGAAGCAATAGACAATAGCAGTCAAGACCAAATATATCGCAATGCATTGCATTAATATATGAAGGAAACATATTAGAATTTATCAATGTATATGTATATTTATAAAGCATTATATGTACGAAAAATACTCTTTTTTTAAAAACTCATACTGACAGGATGCCAACTGTCATAAGTATTAACATACCAGTAATATTATCAAGATTTGTTTTATATTACTATTCCTAATAAATATTTTTTATTGTTTAAAGATACCTTGTATACTATGTAACTATTGATATATGTTTTATGTAGTTTCTCATATTAGTGCCGCCATGAAAAAATGACCATTCGGACAATTTTCTTTGATTATTAGGTTTCATATTTTTTATATAAAAAAAAAACAAATAATTAACAGAATTAAACGTAATAAAGGACGTCATGTTTTTTAATGATATAAGAATTGATTGTGTAAGAACAAATAAAGACAGTGAGTTCAAGTCAATTAATTTTCAATCCCATTATAATACACACTTAAAATTCATAATTAGTATAAAAATCAAATACAGACGAAATCATATTAAAATGATCGACACTGATGTGCGTAGTTTAATGCTTACTGGTTAACTTATGATACGTGAAATATGTAGAGGATATTGAATGAGTGTAGGTTTAATACTAAATTTATTGAACGAGTTGAATAAAATCATATTTTGCGAGCCTCTGGCGAGCATAATATTGTTTTATTCAACGAGTTCAATAAATTTAGTATTGAATCTACTCGAATATAATATTCTATTTATCACATATATAAAATAAAAACGGTAAACTGTTAACAAGGGTCATTTTTGTTTGACGCTCCTGTAGTGTAACACTAACATTAGCGCGCTTTAACGCTATGTTTATAGCGCAAATGACGTGACGTCAAAGTGTTATTACACTAGTGTAATATCGTCTAGTGTAATATCGTTTGTATTAAATGGCTTTATTACACTCCTGCGCCGCGGTTTATTTGATAAATCTTAATATATATCTGCATCATTCTTATATCAAACAAAACTAAATATATTAATAACACATCTAAGGACTGAACACACAGTATAAAATAATTAATATCGTAAATTGTATGTCACTCTTGCACGGCATATCCGGTACGCCTGGCACATTTATGTATAGGTATACATAGTTATATTTCGCAGCTTGGTGAATACACAAGTGTTCCTTCACACAAACTGAGCGATAGTGGAACATAGCGCAATAAAGTAGTATAGGTATTACTGTATCTTGCGCGGCTTAGTCCATCTTGAAGCAAGACTGCAGGGAGAATGGCTTCAGGTACTGTGGTGCTCCTCTTCAGAAATTGTGTCCCGCTGCTCTATGTCAAAATCATATACGAGAATTAATGTTAATTATTAATACCCAATTCATTCGTTACCTAAGTTACGTTTGTACTTATTGTTACTTTTCACCAAGAACATTTATTAATGGTATTTTACCAATAATTGAGTTAGAGAGCTTTTTTTATAGTTTGTCAAAATGAGTATAAGTACTTTTATTATGTGCAAAAGTAGGGCACTTACAGCTGATGGATGAAGTATTGTTATCTTTATTTTCTGCTTTCGTTCCCAGTAATAAATCAAAGCTAAGAAGGCGCTGACTTTGTTAAGGTCTCAGAATGTCAGAAAGGTGAAGGTTGTGAGATTATAAACCAATTTGTTTTTGTAAAGTGCCACCAATGCTGTTTCCAGTGCAATGTTATAACTGTAGTAAATTGGCTCTTAGGCTAATTGCAACACTGATATTCAATTCAATGTTTATTTGGCTTAAACAATAATTAAAAAAAAAAACAACAAATAAAAAAACGTGAGTTGCATTGACTTGGATTTGAACTCCAGAACCCTCGTTTCCTAAACGAACGTGTAACCCCTTGACCACGAGGAAATTATCACATAACAGCCTGAAGAAAACCAGATTATTCTAAATTAGGGTTTGTAACCCTTATTAACTTTGATATATTTTGTTCACGATAAACCTGTTGTTTAACACTGATGTGAATAATCATGGAGCTTAATATAAGCATGTATATCTGTAAAGAATAACACAATATTAGAAATATTCGACCAATCGAGAACCGAGAAGGCTTGCAAATAAACGCGCCTGTCATTTGACAATCTTTACGCAGTGATCTCCCATTAAATTTTCGGCGTTTGTGTACTTATAAAGGGTAGTAACCGCTTCAAAGAATTTGGACTTCCTTCGGATTTTGCATTGACTGGGATTTGAACTCCAGAACCCTCGTTTCCTAAACGAGCGTGTAACCCCTCGACCACGAGGAAGTTATCACATAACAGCCTGAAGAAAACCAGATTATTCTAAATTAGGGTGTGTAACCCTTATTAACCTTGATATATTTTGTTCACGGTAGACCTGTTGTTTAACACTGATGTGAATAATCATGGAGCTTAATATAAGCATGTTTAGCTGTAAAGAATAACACAATATTAGAAATCTTCGACCAATCGGGAAAAGAGAAGGCTTGAAAATAAACGCGCCTGTCATTTGACAATCTTTACGCAGTGATATCCCCTTAAATTTTCGGCGTTTGTGTGTATGTACTTATAAAGGGTAGTAACCGCTTCAAAGAGTTTGGACTTCCTTCTGATTTTGCAAATAAGCACATCAGGGTCTGAAATTTCGCTACCATTATTTGCTTGGTCTGACAACCCAAACAAATAAAAACCATTTTGACGGGGTGCTTCTTTATATATGATATATGGATATATGGATGCTTTAAGGATTACTTTTAACGGAATTATATATTTCTGAATGCATAAGACATTGTAAACATTGTCTTTGTTGGCTGTACAAAGTAAAGCATTCATCGAAATTGACATGTATTCACCTCCCTCATGTTCGACGATTCCTCAAGCATAACAGATATTTTTTCCACCTGAAGTTTTTGTCGGCGCCCTTAGTGGTGGAAAGAAGCAAGGTAAGGTTCTATAGGTTCTTAGGTTTCCAACGAGTTGTGTCACGTGAGTCAAGCACCAACATGGCTGCGCAATTAATTTTTACGGTAATTTTCGACCGGAAGTGGAAGTTGATGTCGGCGCTCTTTATGGTGAGAAACAAGTAACACTTATTATTGTATATTGACCATTTGACTATGTTAACTGTATGTATGTTATGCGTGCTGTATGCGCAATAGCAAACTGTCCGGATTATCTAAACACATAAAAAACAAGAAACCTTTTCTTCAAGAAAATATTGTTAAAGTTTCTTACTGGCACATGGGCCCGGCATGCAAAGTCTGGCATCCAAAGTGTCCCCAAAACAAGGATCACCAAATCGGTCAGGTACGGGGTTTGAACAATTCCGATGTCTTTTCTGTATCCCAGAGTCACAGGTCACTGAACATGACTCCCAGTTAGACCACGTTGTCCAACCTCCATGTACTTCATTGGCAAAAAAAATTAAGGTATCTTTTTTCAATACAGTTTTACAAATAAATTTCTTCTGAAGAAAGGACCAAAATGTGATTTTGATGATGAATAAAGTAGCATTAAAAATGAAATAATTAATCATTAAATATTCAATACTAAATACTGAGAATGTGGTGTCGTATATTATAGAAAATTTCTTGTTACTTAAGATGGACAATTATATATGTATAAATGATGGTAGGTATGAAGTTTTAATATTTATTTATTTATTTTAACATAAGCGTATTGGAAAAAAGGTTTTATTTTACATACTTTTTCAGTTTACATATTGATGTATTGAATGTATATAAACTAATATTAGGTAATATGATCACCTGGACAAAGCTGTTTTGAACATGTATTAATTTCTGTCATCTCTCCGATACAATCAAGACCCCCATCGGCTGGTGCTGGATCCGTGCATGTGCGTGTTCTTGTCCGGGTACCATTCTCACAAGTGACGTCACATGTCGACCAGTCCGACCATGGAGCCCAGGTACCGTCAACTATAGATAATATCAAATGTTATATGTAATTTTCTATTATTCATAACATGGTGATTTTCACATCTTTCACATGCAAGTCAATTAAACTATAATCGTTGTAAATATTTGTGAAATATCTCTTCATGGTTACACGGTTACAGTCATTTTATTAAACTTAAATAAATAACTTATAGTTAAATGATTGATTTTGAGCATAATAGACGGACAAGACATTCTATTAAGAGCTTAAGGTACTTATGTTGTTCGGAACTACAAAAAATATAAGTTTTAATTTCTTGTAGGGTGGATTGTATTTGGTTGGTTTGAAATCCCTGGTAATTCTATTATGTCTGTGAAATCAAAATGAAATTTAATGTATTAAATATATGTAAAATAAAACTAAGGCATACAATTTTTAAAAACAAATACTAAAGTGGGACAGATCGTTACTTATATCATGACATTGGGGCTAGTCGTTCCCTTTAGTGGGTCAAGTTATCTATTCTTGCTTATAAGATCATTTATACAATCAAACGCAGTACATGTATAAATACGTAGAGCAAACAATACAGCATAATTATTCAATAGAAATTTATCTCAATGCTTGTTGCTTATTTAGAGGAAAATATTAAGAGCATAGCGAGAGAAGATATTAAAATTTCAAAGTTTGGCATTCGAAAAATATCTGCTCTATTATAATTACGTGACAAAAAAAATAGAGAAATTAATATCCTACAGAAAAGCAGAATGCAGTCGTAATTTACTATATTATGTTAGCGCAAGATTATGTATACGCCATGAGGCCGTAAGTTTGTGTATAGTTTGAACTGTGAACGATTGTTTTTATTTGGATTAGCCCTGCTGTATTTTACTTTTAAATAGTACTGTATCTGATGCGGCTGTGTTGTCAAATTGAAAAAGTTTGCTCTACCACCGTCTCACCAGACGTGCGACCTAACTGCGTTCACAGGGCGACCGAGCCACGGCAACTATTTCGAACATGCACAAAAGCAAACGTCATGGGTTGGCGTTCTCAGTGCGTTCTGGACTAGAACGCTCTAAGGATCCCATGGTCGCGGTATAAACCCCTAGAACACCCAAAGCACGTACTATGATCGTACTGTACATGCAGCAAAGTCGCCGTATGAAAGCATATGAATTGTTTTATTTGTAATTGGCGACTATATGGAAACACTTAGGCGTTTTCAGTCCTTGCTGTCGACATGAGGACGCAACATGAATACAAAAGTCGCCTTAGAGACGTTGTACTCTTCATAGGAGGGTGCTGAGTGTATGGTTGCATATTAACGCCATTAAAATGTTATACGAACGCCGTACATGCCGTATGAACGCCGTATAAACGCACAAAACGAAGACAAAAACGAAGGTGTGACGGCTAGCAGAAATTTGTAATTTTGTCAAAATGTCATCGGGGTTTTGACTAAGGCGTTTTCCGGTAAATCCGGTTAAGGCGGCTGTAATAACGCCTTGTCGGTTTGACGAGGGTATTACAACTATAACTAGACATCATGCTTAAGAGAATGTCTCTAACATATTGCTGAAAAAAAAGTTCTCAGTGATGTTCTGCCGGACTAACGATACTATAATAATGATTGTTTTGAATGATAGGATCGGGAGTTATCAAAGAACAGGTCTATAAGTAATACATGTATTTATGAAATTAGAATAGTCAAACCGTTTATGTTTTAATTTACCCAATGTACAAAGTCCACAAAACTTAGGACACTCTGCTTTAGCATGATGAATGTCCATACATATGTTGAATACAGTATTTAGCCAGGCACAGTCCGCTTTAGCGTCGTCAATGCAAGCAGATGCTGAAATGTATAACACAAGATCTTTTAATCCCATTGATAACAATATCAGAAAATTACTTGTTTTCTTAAAGAAAAGAATAAACCATCGCTAGTTTAATCTTCGATCCATGTAGTCATGAAATCATAAGAGGTTATAAATAATTTTGATTACATTTTCCACCTTAAAAATCCTTAACCTGCTGAAAAAAAAATTGTCATATGAATTTGAACTGCTTATTAAGGTTGGAACAAATTATTCTAAATATAGGGTTTTTCAACACATAAATACAAAAACTAATCTACGGACAGTCAATAGCATGAGCGTACTGCCTTGGCCTGGTTCAAAACCGATGGCAAAGGCCAATAACGTTCGATCTTAAAGGTTAAAAAAATATGTTTACATTAACAATTTGCATATGGTGAGTATTTAAATAATAACTGAGGTCTCAAATATTTTAACTCACGTTTTGGGTGTTCGCATAGATGTTTATTGCAATTATCAATACTGCAACACTCGTGACACGTGTGTAATTGTCTCGCTGAGATATCACGTCCAATTATGCCTGCATGTATATTTGGAGAGCTTCCACAATTCTAAAAAATATCAATTTACGTGTTGTTACCTAGATTTATTGTAGATTATATAAAATGTATAAAGAAATTAGGAAGTCACTGGATTTTTCGTCAAACTCTGAAAAGAATTAAAAAGCCGATTTCGATATTATCTTATTTATAATTTGTTTCATTTCTTGATTGATAAAAGTGTTTTCTCAGAACAAACTAAAATGCAAGATTATGCGAGACATAACTAGAACTGTGTAAGATTTTTTAACAGATGAGTTAACACATTTATGGGAATATTACCGTGAAGACATTACCTGATTGTCTTTACAACCTAGTGTGTAGCTTGTAGTTTGTCCAGAAACATTCATTTCCAAAGAACATGACTGAAGAGTTCAAGAAATGATTGTATAATTAAAATGATTTATGAATCCGTTTCAAGGTAAAAATCGAATATCGACACAGGACACGAGATATTTATACTTTCATCAGTGTCGTCGCTACAAGTAACACCAGTCCTGGTTTTGTGAAGGTGAAATTTTAAGTAATGTATAGTTCACAAATTTTTTTAGTACTGTACTGAAAGTATTATTAATTGTGTTTATAAAATCAGTAGTCTATTAAATATGATGAGATTTAACAATGGCACAATATTCCTGCTATGGAATATACATTCGTTTTACTAATTCTAATTAATTAGTTTTGGATTCATGTTATGATATTTTTCTAACCTGTCCTTGACTGCATTGAGCAATGTTGACACAGCTGTTCAAATCAGTCACATCAGAGCAACTGAAACACTCTAAACAAACTGAAATATAATAAATGAGCCGTGTCACGACAATACCAACATAACGAATTTGCGACCATCATGGATCATGGCTGGTCTGGATCCATGCTGGTCGCAAACCCATTATGTTGGTTTTGTCATGGCACGGCTTAAATGTTTTGTTGTTGTATATAGCAGCCTGTATATTATGTATTTGGGTATTTTGTTAACTTGACATCTTATATTACTTTTATTACTACACAAAGTACTGGTTGTACATTAGAGTTTCTCATTATTCGTTTTTAAAACAGAGATGGTTTACCATAATTATGAGATATATACCAATTACATGTAGTATAAATTTTGTTAATCTGTATATTTAGCAAAACTTTCTTAACTTTAAAATATCCTTTTGTATTAAGTTTAATTGAAATGATGGGTGATGAATAACAAACATATTTGCACAAAAATCATTGCTATCTAAAATTCTTTTTATTGCAAAACAACTAAACATGGAAGTAGTGTATTGCATCTTTATATCAATTTCATATACCAAATGTTTGCAGTTTTAGATGTTTATTCAAGTTTGAAACTTTTGACAGATGCTAAGCAACATTCACAATGTCTTTCTTTCAGATATGAATTGTATGCTCAATACAAATATGTTAAATTTAAAGCCTCGGTCTCACTTACTCCCGGCAGAGCCCAGGACCATCCCGGTAAGTTACCGGGATGATCCGGGACGATCCGGGATGAAATTATTGTTGCAGTCACACTTACCCCGGCAGCACTACGGTAGTTCCCTACTAACCACCCAGGATGCGCTCCGGATCATCCAGGCAGAGCCCAGGTGAAGCTACGGTTCATGCCGGTGCTTCCCCGGTCGTTCCCGGATGACGCCGGAAGAGCCCCGGTTGACCCAGGCAGAGCCCCGGTCGATCCAGGCAGAGCCCCGGCAGAGCCCAGGACGATCAAGGCAGAGCCCCGGTAGAACCCCGGTGGATTGAAAACGCCCGAAAATGATAACTTTGATAAATAATTTTTATTTAATTTAATATCTTTTGTTCCAGAATAGTAATTCATGATGATTTTCTGAAAAATCCTTATGCAATACTGGATAGAAGGGAAATGGGAAGGCTTTTAATACAAACAAGTTCAATCATCACAAATTGTCCTTATTTTTTTTTAAATGATCCGGGCTTTGCCGGGGCTCTACCGGGGCTCTACCGGGATCAACCGTAGCTCTACCTTTATCCTCCGGGGCTCTGCCTGTAGTTACCGGGGCTCTGCCGGCATATACCGGGGCTCTACCGTAGCTCTACCGTAGCTCTACCGGCTATATCATACCCCGGATCATCCCCGGTTTGTGCCAGCAGAGCTACGGTGCTTTCCCGGTATCACCCCGGTCGTTCCCGGCAGAGCTAAGGATGATGCCGGCAAAGCTATACCTTCCCGGATCATCCCGGACCACCCCGTTGATATTAAATATTTTATTCCATCCGGGGTTGAATGCCGGATGTTCCCGGATCATCCCGGATCATCCAGGACGTTGCCGGCAGAGTTACGGATGTACCCCGGTTGTTCCCGGTCGTACCCCGGTCGTTCCCGGATCACCCCGGACGTCTACCGGGGCTCTGCCGGGGCTCTGCCGGGATGTAAGTGAGACTGTAGCTTAAAAGATATTTTACCTGCCAACTAGTACCTGCCCAATTAATTGGGCTGGACATGGGTCGGCCAAGGGGAAACAAAAGGATTGTAGGCATGTTTCTTGCGCACTGTGAGTTTTCTTTAATAAATATAAATCAAAAATTATGAAAATAAATCGGTAAGAAAATATACCTATAAATCCCGGAAATGTGACTGCTATAACGAATGCAATTATACCTGAAATAAACAATACACCAGAAGTTATATATGGTAACTTTCTTTTCTATTTCTGGAAGCAGTTATGCAAACATTATGTAGTTGTTTTCAGATGCAAATGTAATAAAATAATGTTCAGAAATTATGTTTTTAAAGCAACACTAAAGTACGTACACGAATTTTGACATGCAAATGAAGACTGTAATTAGTTCGAAACGCAAATATAGGATTTTCCCATGTAATCAACTTTTACCGTTTAGGCTTGGCGTACCGCTAGACCTAATGGTAATAAACGAGTTATCAACCAATGAAATTATGAAAACATCCGTTATATCATTCGGAAATATACCGTTATATTCGGACTTCTACTTAATGCCATGTTTTTTAATTACTGTTGATGTTCTGGTGACACAGAGGCAGAGTTTAACATGTATTATACTCGATTTCGCCAAAATGAGGTTGTTGACTTTAAAGCTTACAAAGCTCATTTTGGTCGTCTGGAGACCAAAATAAAAACAAGAGCCGATGTGAACACCAATTTTTAAACCAATGCAGCTATTTCTGTTTTCATGAAATTATAAAATGCAGCTTTAAATACTTTTTTAATAATTGCATCAGCTAAGATTATAAAGGTATAAAACATTATATATACCTAGTCCTTCAAAATACCAACCTTTGTTAAGAAACGCAGAATTTCATGCTAACCATGAACTCTTAATTTTATCACATCAGCGTGTTCTCTTGTCAATGGATTCCATCGTATAATGGCATGAACAACATATTTGAACTATCATTCAAAAAATGATATCATTTTTGATACAATTGTGTTTATAACTTTGAGTTTTATCGTAGAAAATATTACTAGCAATCCAATATAATGTTCCATTATAATTACCTAATCAATCGTCATCTGTTTTGCCAAAAGCTAAAAAATTAAAAAAGGTTACATTTCAAATTCATCTCTGGTTAGATGTCTCAAGGGAATGTGGTGCTAAATTGTCTACGCATTTGCGATAAGGACTACACAATAGGTCAATTGCCCCGCGTGACTATCTTATCATTTGTAAGGCAGTTTTAGTTGGATAACATACATGTACGTGTTTGCACCAAGCAGTGACCTATTTAAGCGAATATTGGAGCTTTCTCCCAACAATAACGTATTATAGTATACATGTTAAGTGGCATTTGAAGTTAATTGACAATATCCTGACGACATTACGGACGTGCAGCAGTAAACAAAATTGTACAGTAATAAAGATGTAGTTTGTAGAGTTCGTGGTGGCTATAGTAATGGATTACGGCTTTGTCTCCTAATCTACAGTTTCAGCCTCCATAGATTCCGTTTCATTAAGAAATAAGCAATTTAGAATTTTACAGTCAGCTCATTTTACAGTAGGGTATCCTTAAAATAAGTTTAAAAAAATCTACCTTTGTTCCTTTGTGATCTGAACAATTAATTTTACTCTATTTGTGATAACATATTTATGTTATTTTATATTAATACAGTTTCAGTCACCCCACCTCCTCTCCACTGCTTCCCTTTGACCCTTCACATTTAAATAAAAGCTCTCATTTTCCTTGTAAATTTACCATTTATCATATTATTTTTATTGTATAACCGCTGCATCTATAATTTGCTATGCCTTCAAAAATGTTCAATTACGACAATTTAGACCTATATAGATAAAACATTATTGTAATACAAATGCGGAACCAAAATAGAATTGCCATTTTTAAAACATATAATAAATTCACAAAGTCAAATGCTGCTTGATAACATCATTTTTACAATATTAGATGAATCATAAAACTAGTTTACTTCTAATATGATTTACTTCGCGAGAACTTTTATCCACAGCTTACGTTACGTTACGTGTACGTATTTTCTATTGGGAATTGAAATGGTTTTAGTTTATGATAAAAATTGCTTGAATAAGATAAGCATAACTTAAAATTTCGATGTTTGAATGGTTCTATATGTTAGGTCTATCCTTGAAGGTATTTTCTTTCTTGAAATAAAACACAATAGAGCATCAATGGTCTTCCTTACATCGTAATAAAACATTATATAATTATTATAGGTATGAAAAACTAACACAATCACTAGTTAACGTTAAAGTAAATGATTTTGTTTTAATTTTGCGAGTTTTTTCTTTCTCTCTTGTATATAAAAACTTATCCGCTGTAAGCTGTTCAATAAATATAAAAAAAAATTCAAAGAAAGTTTTGTTCCCAAATTTCAAAGTACAATCATGTACATCTTTGTTGAAAGACAACTGTTTTAAACTGACAATGAGTATCAGAAATGCTGTAAACAAACGAATTAGTGTTTTTTTCTCATTTCGTTAACGATCTGTCAGCCATGCTTACCTTCTTTCACTATGTGAGAATCAATATCTACCTTAAATTCTTCGATCGGAACTTTGTACTGCTGTGTTAAAACTATTATCCGAAAATATATACTTGCACATTTTGCATTCATTATCCGGTGATTTGTTGTGTTCTGTTTAGCTTGATCATCAACAATACCAGAAGAGGACACTATCTATCTATCTATCTATCTATCTATCTATCTATCTATCTATCTATCTATCTATCTATCTATCTATCTATCTATCTATCTATCTATCTATCTATCTATCTATCTATCTATCTATCTATCTATCTATCTATCTATCTATCTATCTATCTATCTATCTATCTATCTATCTATCCATCCATCATCCATCCATCCATCCATCCATCCATCCATCCATCCATCCATCCATCCATCCATCCATCCATCCATCCATCCATCCATCCATCCATCCATCCATCCATCCCATCCATCCATCCATCCATCCATCCATCCATCCATCCATCCATCCATCCATCCATCCATCCATCCATCCATCCATCCATCCATCCATCCATCCATCCATCCATCCATCCAATCCATCCATCCATCCATCCATCCATCCATCCATCCATCCATCCATCCATCCATCCATCCATCCATCCATCCATCCATCCATCCATCCATCCATCCATCCATCCATCCATCCATCCATCCATCCATCCATCCATCCATCCATCCATCCATCCATCCATCCATCCATCCATCCAAATAGAGTTCAAAGAAATGAACTCGACTGTCAATGCTGTTCTTTAAGAGACTTAGTCAATTTGTTCTTATATGTCCATGCTATATAAATATTCGTAAGATACCCAAGTATGTACAAATTTATTGTATTGCTGCAAAGTTATAATAGAAATTAGCTATGTAAACTAGCATAATATATCAAAAATGCTATGACAGTTAGAACTAAATTATTAAAAACTGTCCAATGATAGTTTAAAATTTAATTTATTAAATAATGTTTAATGATAGATTAAAATTTAGTTTTGAAATTGATTTTTTTTTTCTTAAATATGTTCATCCTCACCTAACTGAGGCTAAATAACAAATATCTGAAGTTTCATTGCAATTATTAAACTCTTTATATTATAAATATTATTGATTTCTTTATTTTGATTACACTGAAAAGTATATGTTACTTGAATAATATAATTATGTATATGATGATGTACTTTGTACAAATCAGAAATAAAATTTCTGTTCTGTTTATTATCCACGCGTGTGATAATTACAACAGAAGGAGGAAATTACGGGCCTGTTTCATTTTTTTTAAAGAATTGTATATGATGAACTTGAGAATTATTTAAGCAAACGAGCTTTATTATATGAGTTTCATCTGGTTTCCTGAGTTCGTTTTCTACATGATTGCAAACCACAATAATGTATAATAACAAATTTTCATTACATCAAGGGACAACAAAATCAATTCTATTTGGGTCTAAAATCAGGTCGAAAATAGAATCAAATCTTAATATCTGTATTTTATTATAATGTTTGTAATGGTACCTCTTTTAAATACATTTGTGGACTGAGTCGGTCAAATATTAAGGAGACACCAAAGACAAAAGTTTGAGCTTTGACACTATGGTAACATCAGTCACAATAAAAAAGCAATTGCAAGACTAAAATTTCTTTATAGAAAATAAACGTTTTTATCTTTTTATACCAAGAAAATGTTAGTAATGCCTTTAATTCAATGTCATTTGACCATGCAACAAAGAATTGTTATCATTGTTTTCGCTGTGTTTCAAACTGTTATGGTAATTTTTATCGTATTTTAAATGAAAATGTGATAGCATGGAATGAGATTCAAGTTGGATGCACGGGTTTTAAGTGATCATAATATTCCTGTTTTATTTGTAAAAGTTACCTCTTGTCACAAGGTTTGATATGTGATTGAAGACGTAATCATGATAGTAATTTGATAATACCAAAAAAATGAGTGGTTCGATGTAGACAAAGAATTTAATTAATGTAATAAATTATATTTATTTTCTCTTCAATATTGTATGGTGTTTAATTTTCTAGTCAGTATATTGGACATTTGGATGTATAATGTTCTTATGAATGTATTATGGATTTGTGACATACCTTATATTAATATTCCAACTAAAGCATCTTTTGAGAAAAATTGCATTTAAATTCTATAATTATGTTGGTGTGTTTTTTTTCTGCTTTGTTTGATTTTTTCCCGAGCGTTGTAACTCTTTCTCAAAAGTCAGGTCATATTAAACGAGCTTCTTAAAGTTATAAAATTATTAAGTTATTAATAGTTATCCTTTCTTGGATTTTGTTAGAGCAGTTTTGTACACCGTGGTTTACTTTCTGGTCTTTGTTGTATAGTTCGCGGCTTGTGCAACCAACACATATATCGTTGAATGATTTAATGGCCGTATGGCGTCATATCATCCGGACATGTTGCCCCATGTGTAATGATTTAACGTCATGTACTTTATTATAAATATAGTATATCTGACAATGTATATTACTACGATACGAAAATTTTTGAATCCGAAGAAAATATAAGCGACCATTATGGTTAATTAAAATCGATATACATACAAATTTACATTTAATTTATAAAATACAATTATGGAATAACAAGAAAGTAATTTTGAGTTATCTAACGATTTTATAGCAAACACGAACACAAAGTGTACATACTTTTTATTTTTGCATGAACATCCTTCATTTATTGACATATGTCTTTTAATATTTTGTGGGTATAATATTTAAGTATATAGTCTCCTATGTTTGAGTGAAGTTTTTGCAAGGACATCCTTTATTTATTGACATATGTCTTTTAGTAATAACTTTATATTTAAAGAAAGTACGATTTACCAATAAATTGTCTGATACTTAAAGATAATATCGCAGTTTATGTAAGATTGTTTGATATTTATATATTATATCACGGTCTTAATTGGATCGATTACTATTCAAATACAATATTACAGTATAAAATAAGATGGTTGAAGGGACGAAAGTTCGAAACACTTCATGATCTTCAGAATGCAGTGTTCAGAATCATTCGACTTTAACAGGGCCACTTTTAGGAAGTTGGTTGACCGCCACAGGCGATGCATCGAATGTAATGGGGAATACTCCGAAAAGTTGTGAAAACGTTTACCGTGCACCCTTGCAGCTGTGATTGCATAAGTGTTTTTTATTATTGCTTATAAACTGGCACTTTTTGTCAAAATTTTTTTACTGTCAATAGAGTAATGATTGATGCAAAGTATTTTGTAGTTTTTATTTTCTTATGCAACCTACATATAACATATTCCACCAGTGCACTAATATATTGGACAAGCCTCGTAATATAATCAAGTACGATATCACAGTTTTTATAAAATCGGTTGGTATTTCAAGTTGATATCACAGTCTTTATTAGATCAGTTTAATTAATTTAAAGACATTATGCTAGGGGGCGTAAGGGATGATGCATTCATTCATTCATTCATTATCCTTTATGTACAGACTGAATCAAACCGAGTCTGCAATTTTCATGTAATTTTGTTGTGATTAATGCTTCCGAGGGATCACTTTGTTTCCAGATTTTTTTATTAGATCGATTGATACCTTACGATGAATATACATGAATATAGAATATGTAAAATCATTAACTGCATTTCTTCGCCTGTTATCTGTCCAGTGGAAGCTTGACGTCTGGGGAAGAAATTTCAGTGCTTAACTTAAATCTTGTTATCTCATCTTAATACACTAGTATACAAAACATTCCGTTGTCTTTTGCAGATGAAAAGGTGCTATATGCGGTAAGTTAATATTTACCGCATCTAAATTAACGGGATATTGCTATCCCAAGTTCGACAAATAACATTTGGCAATACGTATACTCAGACAATGCCTTTTCAACAGCTTTTTTTCTAGAAGTCATAGATCATAGTCGTTATTAGTTACCGCACAACAATCATACACATACACCAACAGTATATATTTTTCTGTATGTTTAATGAAGAAGCATATAATATACAATATATTTACAGTTTTCACACAGTAATTGTACAACATGAACGACGAAAGCATGTATTTGTCAATATATTTGATATAGAACCATACAAAAAATACTATTGTTTTACATACTAACCATATACTATGAAAGTATATATTTTTCTATGCAAATAATGTAGAAGCATATCATATACAATTGTTCACCATGCAAGTTAGTATTTATCCAGGCATTTAATGTAGAAGCATAAAATATAGTTACAATTGTTTTACAGTTTGTTTTACACAATACTTATACATGATGAACGATGAAGTTTTATATTTGTCAGCACATCAGATGCAGAACGATTCATAATACAATTCTTTTGCAATTTTTTACACAACAACCAGTCACTCATGTAATTGTCTAGGCGATTAACGTAGAACCATACAATATACAATTGTTTTTACAATTTGCACAAATCAATCATAAACGATGAAAATATATATAAAATATAAACAATATTACCATACAAAATACAATAAAAATGTGTGAAAATATGCAACAAAATACGTGTAATGGACTGATGAATAATAATTCATATTTTTTAAAACTGCTTGTATCAGTGATTGGACAACTATTTATCAAATTTTTAATTTCAAATGAAATATATTATAAAATCTGGAGGAAGGATTAGCTTACTTTTTTTCTTCCATTCCAGGTTTCCCTTAGGCTACCAAACATTTTTTCTACTGTCCGACACTTGCTTTATAATGGGCCTTAGACTGAAAAAAATATAATCGTGTTTGGTTAAACACTTTTTGGTCAATTGATCAGTTAATTAATTTCCACTATAGAAGGGTACACGTATTACGTTGTTTGAACTTTATTCATAATACAATCGCGACACGTGCAGCTTAGATACAAGGCTTGTTAGGCATACTTTTCACTGGAAATAATTAAAGGTATCTTTAGTAATATGCAGGTTTATTAGGATGACAACACTTACAATATAAGAATTATTTGATTCACTTACTTTTATTATAATGGTAAATTTATAGCTGACACAGAGCATTTTTGTTAAAAATTCTATTGGAAACAATCATGTTACGCTATATCGTATGACTCGAACTTAATATATCAAAAGGAAATCTTATAAAGAATCTTCACAGTTCCGGCTGCACCATATAGACTGATATAAATTATATATTACAAAGTATGTAAAATACTTTAAAATACAAAGTAAAAAATAAAGGTTTTAATAGTATTTTCTGTACATATTCACTTACTTATCCAATCTAATGTTTAAAGATTAAGGAAGGACTTATGGTAAGTAGTGATTACCCTCATGAAAACAGACATATCAGATTTCCCTACAGAACAATTTACTATTTAATTGTCTTTTCTTTTTCAAAACCTCTTTACACGTACAAGAGCTTATATCTTATTTATTAATGAAACACATTTAGTTTGGAAAACACAATGACAAAATGGTATTAAATATAAAATATGACAATGCCTCCTATTTTTTATTGGATATAATTTCGACTTAAACACATTCTTACAGCTCGAGACATACATTTAGACAAAAAACAAAAAAGTTGGAAAAATAATAAAACAATTAAACGTCATTTTTTCATTTTCGTGTTGCCACGTGATTATTTGCTGACAAAGAGTTAAATATTGTCTGGTGATAATCATATTTCACCAGATTATATGATGTCACGTTATTTTATGATGTAACATAGTTATATTCCGTGACGTGGTTTAATGTTGAAACGTGATAATATGCTGTCACGTGATAATATACTGTCACGTGATAATATGCTGTCACCAATCCGATAAGTGAAAATGTCAATGTCCTACAGCATAAGTCAATCATAAATAAGACTTTTAAACCATGTCTGATACAAAACTATAACTGATAATTATGAAAATGTTCTTTTGAGTACGATCATGCTATTCTCTGAATTTATGAAAATTAATCTTCCCTCGATTACTGATATTATTTCCTTCTTATCATCACTGATGACGCTCTCAATGAATTATGGTAATCAAACCCATAATGCCAGTGTCCGGTCTTTGTAGAGGTGCCTGGCGTCACATATAATCCATTTAGATTGACACGAGCACACTTGCTATACCACCAGGCCCCACGTAAAAATACTGCGCAGTTAATTGAGCTCGTGTCAAGATCACGGTCGTAAGTTGAAAAAGGCATTTGATTGTTGTGATCAAATCCAATACCTGCATAGTAATAAAAAGACAATATTAATTAGTTTTGACACTGTCATTATTATATTACGTCATGATAGTTTACATGTTGACGAGCCCAAATTTCATTAACAACGTACTGTCTCTATTATGATACAGTGCACCTCATCCTATTTATCATGGATACTTAACAATTATAATAATTCGTGTTAATGGCAAAACAGGTCCAATAACGTCATGAGAACCACAAGTATTGACATTTAGCGTGTAAGTTTTTTAAGGGGGTAAATTTTTGCTCCCTAAGAGACCAGGATAATTTGTCGGCGACTGAATGAGTATTAAATTGTGCATATTTACTGCTTTCTTCATAAATGCATTGAACGTTTATAAGACTGAATGAGTATTAAATTGTGCATATTTACTGCTTTCTTCATAAATGCATTGAACGTTTTATATATGTATAAACAAACACTCAAAGACGATCTCTAATCAGACGATAGCAAAACATAATATTTTATAACAGACAAAATATAACAACATTAAATTTCAGCCATGAATTGGATCTACTGTATTTAAGAAAAAAATGATTTATTATACTATTCGTTTGTTATTGTGATATAGAACATAAATAACATTTCTTTTATTTGTTCAAAACATGTACATGTATCCTTTTACAGGCAAAGTATGCTTAAGATACGAATAAAATTAAAAAGATAAATAAGAATTTTATAACGTTTAAAATGATGGTTTTAAAGCATGATAGATGATTGTGACTTGAAGAAAGTAGCGATCAATGTGAAATTATTTTTGTCATAAAAGTAGACGCAAAATGAAAACAATGTAGTATTCTGGTTTCAATAAAAATTAATAAACCAATATATCTTTACTAATTACCAAAACCAACAGATGAAACAGAGGGTTCAGGTTTTCAGCCAATGACTCGTGTCTTAGAAACAAAAATAAAAACGCTTTTGAGAAATAAAAATAAAAACCTTTTTGGGGCAAAATGTGCCTTTATAACTGTGTAATCTATATAAGATCTCAAATCAAAAAGTCGTTAGAAATTCTGTTACTAGTCTAAATTTTTCTGTGAAAAATTGGATTTGTTTTTGCCTCATACTGTAACTGGTGTCAGTTGCTTACTTTTTATTGGTTTTAAAGCTGATGTGCTTTCATTTAGATAAGTAAATAAAAAGTAAATGAACAAAATATAAAAGAAAAGAATGCAAAAACTGTCGGCATAAATTACTGAGCAAGTCAACACGTGTGCATGACCCAATGTTTAGTTTATATTTTGTTCCTTCTGTCAACTTAAAGTCTGGGCAAATTTCATGTCCTGTTGTACTATCATTTCTTGTCATGTCAAGACGAATCTCTGTAGAACCTTGTCCAGCTAGCTCTTGTATATACTGTAATCCTGCGAAAATATATATAATGTAAAATATAAATTTTAGAAATATACCAAGATATTCATTCAACACTTCATACCACAAAATTACAAACCGTAACAATCATAATAACATTGGGTTCTATTTATAGACATTTAAACCCGCTGGGTTGCCTTATGCATTAAACTTCAACAGTTTATGTTTATCAATATACTTCAACAACTTATGCTTATCAATACAACAACTTAATGTTTTTTATAAATACTTTTAAAAACTTAATATGTTTGTCAATGATACGACACTTTAACAACTTAATATGTTTATCCATAAAACACTTTAACAACTTAATATGTTTATCAATACACTTCAACAACTTAATATGTGTATTAATACACTTCAACAACTTATGCTTATCGACATACACTTTAACAACTTTATATGTTTATCAATGATACACTTCAACAACTTAATATGTTTATCAATACACTTCAACAACTTATGTTTTAAAATATCAAAACACTGTAACAACTTATGTTTTTAAATATCAATACACTTTAACAACTTAATATGTGTATTAATACACTACAACAACTAATGTTTTAAAACATCAATACACTTCAACAACTAAATATGTGTATTAATACACTTCAACAACTTATGCTTATCGACATACTTCAACAACTTAATATGTTAATCAATACACTGCAACTTATGTTTTAAAATATCAAAGCACTTTAACAACTTATTGTTAAAATATCAATACACTTTAACAACCTAAAATATCAATACACTTTAACAACTTAATTTGTGTATTAATACACTTCAACAACTTATGTTTATCAATACACTTCAACAATTTATATAAGCAATGCATTACGGTCAACAAGAAATATTCTTAGTGTATCATCTTATTAAACTATTTGTTTACTGTAAGCAAACTATTTGTTCCATGTTAAAAAAATCTACCTTCATGTTACACTTGCAACAAAAGGTGTTTTAATTCATTGCGGTGATGTTTACCTTAGGTGACTACGCAATAACTGTACTATATATGTTTTAAAATGCCAATGCTACAAGGAATTTCATACCTAGCCACAACTCTCCATCAACGTTCCCAAAGCCATTCTCATATTCTGCATAGTTGCGATAAAAGTCCACTGACCCGTCCATTCGCCTATGAAATATCTAGAAGAAAAGTAAACAGGTTGAGCGCTTACGTATGTATCTAATAATTACTTGAAAATTATACTGTGTGTCTGTTTAACGTCAGTTTTATATAGCTAAGGGTTATATGTCACTTTAAATGGAAAGGTGGACAAAAGTCCTAAGTCTTTAATTTGCTGTTAGGAACATACCTTATGTATTTCTTTTCATTTACCTGACCAATTACAATTGTCTCATTGACTGTACACTTTATTACACGCTTTAATGTAGACAGTGAAATCATATTTTGACAATTCCGCAATGAGATGATAAAATATAATTTACCCGACACCGGACTATATTTGTATGCGAATGAAAAGAATGTAGATCCTATCATACGTTATTGGAAATATAGGCCGAAATATACTCTGTCGTAAGGATTAAAACAAGCAAAATTTACTCTGTGTAATTTCACATCGAAAGTATGCCTGAAAATTGGAATAAAATGAAATTCAATATTGGCGTCTATTTGCTACCATTTGACTGGTTGTTCGTACTGAACAAAGAACAGCACATCATGATTTAAATAAATGTAAAAATGGAGATGTCTTTAAAGTAAATATATTTCAACAATTTTATCACGTGAGTATGTGAACCGGAAAGAACAATTTGCTTATCAAACATTGGAATAAAAGAATCTATACATACCGTCCAACCACCGCCATCTGTTTGCATGTCACAGTTCACAGTCAGAATCTTCCCAGATGTCCAAAGTTTTATCTCATATTGTCCACTTTTCGCCTCAGGAACCTTATCAAGGAGTTCTTTACAATCACTTGGTACTACGCAAAGAACAAAAAAGTATTTGTGTCAAACGATGTGTTTTCACCAACTCACTGCATAAATTGTGTAAATAACAAGGACAAAAGAGACGTTTATCTATTATATACTTTTGTCAAAATGTTTATACATAGTTGGTAAATCTTTCCATGTCTAAGGTATTTTATGACGTAATATAGCGCATAAACTTCCTTATTTTTCATGACATTTTCCTTTCAAGAATATTAACCAAATGCACTTTGAGTATTTAGTAAATGTGCAACGCATTGTGCAATTTTGCTCTTAAAATATACATACATGTAAATCAATGTAAATCATAAAAAAGATGTATTGTAAAGGTAAGGTAATGGAGTAGTGGGCAAAACTTCGTCTTCTTCCTTTGTAGTACTGAAGGTCTTGTTAAACATTTTCCTTAACTGACCACTGAATGAAGAGAACCGACAAGAAAAATGTCTTCAAAGACTATTATTTAATTTTTTACATGTATTATTGTATGAAATACAATGCTCATAAAAATACATACATAAATATGCAAAACGTAAAGACATTTATCATCTTATAATTTTATTTTATGTTAATAAAATAATAATAATATTTAAAATAAAATAATATGCCATTTGAAAGTTACTGTATTAATTCTAAACCAATTATAGTGCAAATATACCTGCTGTTTTGAAATATCATCATTCATTATCAACTATTGAAAAAAAAATTAATAGCTTGATAAATATACAAAAATGTATATCGTCTAAAAGACATCATCCACTATATCCTCTATTTTTCTGTCTATATACAATAACATTAAGATAATAAAAAGTGCATTTATTTGCATAAGCATTTTACGTGCCAAAGTAAATGTTCTGAAGCACCATCTCGCCAGTATAGCAATTTCTATACTACCATCATGGCTACATTTAGATGAGGTATTAAGACAAGAAAAAAAGTAATATTTAAATACGTCACATTTACACGTTGCAGGCTGCCATTTTTCCGAAGCCTCACATTTCACCTCTTGTTGACTAGGAACATAACCAGTATCACATTTTACTAGAGCTACGTCGAGGAACTTGTTTTCGCCAGGCGCACTAATCTGTACTTTACCATTTTCAATTTTCTGATCAAAAGCACAGGCTGGAAACAAAATAATAATAATAATAATAATAATAACAATAATGATAATAATGTATTGTCTAAACAATAGTTAATACTTTACAAATAAAAAAGACCCATTTCTGAATGATCATCGATTCACGTGCAAATTGTGATAAAGTATCCTATGCTAAGTGAATAATGCTTTTTATTTTTTCTATTATTTTGTAATTGCTTCGTTTTTTATCTTATTAGTTATATTAAAGAGACTTCACTGAAGTTTAATGACATAACCGGACTGATAATATTTTTTCGAGATTAATTTTCTGTTTGATCTAGGTCTAGATTTATAACTTGTGTGCAAAATTTCAGAACATTCGCTTACTTCAATTTTCTAAAATGATTATTGCAATTGCGAAAACGACCCAAAACTGAAAAGCGTTGCAATGCTTTTCACTCAAATAAGGCTAAGAATAGCACAAAAATACGAATGACTTAATTTCTGATTTTAATTTGTTAACTATCATTTGTATGTCTTTCTGGTTGATCTGCATAAGAAATTCAAATTTTATGGTGTTTTTAGACTTTTGGACATCAGTACAGTTCCTACAATACGCAAACGTATAAGTAAGTCGGATTTAAAAAAATATTTCTTGAAATATTATTCAACATTAAATTCAATAACAATTAAAAGTGTAAAAATAATGTTAAAATAGAAGTTTTTACATACTTATGTCTTTGCACACATGTGAAACACCATTTTGGAAACATCTTTGGTTCGCTTTACACGGCCTTGAGCTACAACTTCCAACCATTGCCTGTAAACAGAAGAAACAATATAAAAAATATAAGTAACATTAATAAATTGCTTTGTTTAATTACAAGAACTATTAAAATGCATATTTTCTAAAAGAAACACACTTCTGTAAGCGCTATGATTTTATATTATTGGCAATGAGTGAAAGAGAAACTTCTAAGATAATTTTTCGAAATAATATTCTTTGCACAATAAAATGTTGGACATGAAAACCTGTAAATAATATTCATATGTTACGATAACGATATTTTTCAAATAAAATTCAAATGTAAGAATAACTATTTCCCTCTAATTATTTTTTTTTTCATTTCTGTCTCCAAAAGTTTCACATACATGTATTATACCAGTGAATAAATTGAGATACTTACGCTAGGCCATTCGCTGATATCAGAGAAAATAGCGCCTCTTTTTGTTTTAAACTCTGATGGATCAACGGACGACTTGTCAACATCATTTAATTTACACACATGCTCGTTTCTGTCAAAGTCGAACGATTTACAGACGGACATTGATATACAGGTTCGCGCACAATCGTGATGGTTTTTATCATTAACTTCTAACACGGAATGACCGATCAAGGCTTTATTAAGATTGTCCTTGCTTGCTTCAAATGAACTACATTTGTTTGAGTTAACTGTTCCAAATAGGACAGCGTTAATTATCATAATTCCAGCAGTCAAAGCCATTGTTTTTAAAGTAAAATATTTTTTGTTATTTGCCACAGCTACATAAAATGAAATCAAACAACGACCGTACCTTAAACACATATATGTCCCGTCTCTATGGTATGGTACATGTGTGCTCTATATACGAGTAAAGCTGGTTAACAGCAAATGTATAAAACATGCCCTTGTTATTGATCTTTGGTGAATCGTCCAATTAGAAAACAGTCACGTGTTTTGTCTGTCTCTAATTCTGCAAATGCATAACAACTAAGTATTTTGTTTGGTTTACATACTCGGAACTTTCGCAAACTAATCTATCTTGATGCATTGATATATGGATGTGAATAAAAACTAAAAACCGGTGTAACGAAGTTGTGTGACGCCAAATTATGACAATCGCTCATTACATTTAAAACAATATTGAATCCCCGTTGACTAACATTTTAAAATAGTATGACCTCCCCACACAATGAATGACCCCACCATGGTAGCTATTAGGTACGTTAACGAGATGTCATTTAAGAATTTGTTTTAAAAAATAAATCGGGCAAAAATATCTTAAGATTGCTCAACAGAATGCATGCCTTATTGTTAAATTTGAATCTAGAGCTATCTATGATAAATACACAACAACAACAGTGACGACGACGACAAAAACAACACAAACGATGGCGGCGACGACGACGACAATTATAACAAAAACAAACAAACATTTATAAGAATTGATGAAATGCAACTTCAGCAATTACTTGAACATAAATCGATAATATGAATAAGGCAAGGGCTCAAGACAAGCTCTTTGACAGCTTTTATTTTACATTTCACTATCATGACCATATTTATTAAGATCCATCAGCGGACACAATACTAGAGACTCTACGAACTTAAAACTTCACTCATTCGGCCTCACCATTTACGCAACACTAGCTTTTACTCTCATGTTTTATCTTATGTCTAAATTGAATTTGAACAACCATACGGAAGCCTGGGAGTATCATTTATTAATTAAAACTTAGTATTAATTAATTATAATTTATAAGTTATAACTTTTTCATAAATATTTATTACTTATTTTTAACCATGTATTACGCACATATTGATTTTGATTTATAGCTTGTAACCATGGCAACCAAAAGAAATATTTTTGAAAATTTTCTTCTCTGAAACCACAAAAGAAAGAACATAGATATTCTGCATTTAGCATCGTCATATGGTATTTTTATGTAAAGATTGTTCACTTTGTGTCCCTGGGGTCAAAATTTGACCAGCCCTAGGGTTGTCTTATTCTAAGTATATAGACTGTATAGTGAAAACTTTAAAACTATTCTTCTTTGAAATCAAGAGGCCAAGGGCTTTGATATTTTGCATTAAGGATCATGTCATGGTAGTCTATGAAAATTTTCAAATTATGTGCCTGGGTCGAAATTGGCCCCACCCAAGGGGTCTAATATTTTATATAGAAATGTTAAACAAATTCTTCTCTGAGACCAAAAGGACTAGAGCTTAGATATTTTGCATGAAGCATCGACTTATGATTGTCTATGAAATTGTTGAAATCAAACTTCCATGTTAACTTAGGTGAGCGTATCAAGGGCATTATGAACCTCTTGGTTTAGTGCTTTATATGTTGAATGTTATTTTGAAGTATTTCTAATTTATTTATAAATCTTACTTTGTTTCAGCTAAAGCTAAAATAATTATCTCGTAAGAAACTTTTTTGTTTCATCCTTTTGTTTTATGAGCAAATCTCCATGAAAAGTTAAGACCATTTAATGGTAAAATCATTGTTATGTTTAAAAAATTCATGATTTGTGAAAATATAGACCTTACAAAATAGCATTAGTGTGAAAATGGTGTATTTAGGATCTTTGTTTTCCATGAATTCAGACAGGGGTTGTTGGTACTGTTACCATACAGTAAATACCAAAGTCGAAATATCAATTTCCTATATATATATATGTTTATTAGTACCCTTATTTACACCATTGGCACTTAATTATTACAGTCAGTCAGTCATGTTTTAAACTGGATCCATATTTAATTTAAAAGCTATTTGCATTAATCTTGCTTGATAAGGTTTGATTCATGAAACAGTGTAAATATTAAAAGCTAGAAAGCTAAACGCTAAATTCGACTATTTTCAATTTGGCCATTCCACGCGACTTTTCGGGAACGGTACATGCAGATTTTTTACTAACAACTTTACTCAATCGATTTTGATCAGATAAGGCACAGAGTACTCGTAATTATATCAGATTGCCACGGTAAATCAAAATTCTGAAAAACCCTGAATGGTTTTTGAGAGCATTCGAGTTCAGTTTTCTTTCATAGCCGGTTCGAAGGGACATATCACAACAAGCGACTTCTAGTTAGTCGTCTGCTTTTTCTTGACTGTTTTGTAGAAAAAAAAAAAAGAATGCTAATTTCTTATAGATTTACCAAGTCCAGTGTATCTAGTGAATGCAGTGATGTTTAGCATATTTGCATAAAGTTATGCTAAAATGGTACGGAACACAATGTTACTTAAAGGATACGGTACACACAAATTTTCTGTCATTTTGAATGAGATCTGAAAAAAGAATCATACAAATTTGCTATAACTTATAATTCAAGTGTTTTTTTCTTCTTCAAATTTATGTATTTTATTTATTTATTCGAGAACACTTGGACCTGTTTTTCTCACTGTTTTATAGATAAATATATCTTTTTATGATTTACTCTTGCTACTGTTTTACATTAATGCACTTAAACATTAATTCATCAAGTTGAAATGCTACGGAACACAGTGCTTTTAAAAGGGATACGGAACCCATATACTTAAGGTAGGGATACTGAGCACATTCTTACTTATAAAACTGGAAAGTCACTATATGACCATGACAGTTTTGGTACGACGTGAAACCTAACCAAAAATGACCTGCAATTCCTAAATTAAAAGTTATTGATGTTTTAAAAGCTCCATGTCGTTAAACTATATTTCAATATCACGTTCATGTTTAATTGAAAATTAAGTTCCCGTTGCTTAAATCTATCATGTTTTTCTAGTTTTACTAGTGCCCCTTTGGGTATTAATAATGGCACTGACGGACACCCACAGTTCCAAAGGAGCAATGTCTGTCTAGCACACAACTGGAAATAACTACGTAACTATAAATATTAAAAATGAAGTTAAAGTACTAATTAATAAGTTATAACTTTTAAAATGTAATTAATAAATATTATTTATTATTAATAAGTAATAAATGATACTCCCAGGCTTCCGTACAACCATCGGAAAATGGAACGTAGCCCCGAAATTCGCAGTAGTCGGAAAGTTAGTAAGTCAGTAGTTCAATCTTACAGTCGGAATTTCATATCAAAATCTAATTATCAAATATAAAGAGCTGTAAAGTCTAAATTTGATCTCACAATAAGTCACGATTGACTTATGTTAAAGGCAAGATATTCTTTTTGTTCAATATTTTTTCAGATTTTCTAATTTATTCACAAGACCTTGCCAAAATAATGACATACCGAGCCTTATTCCGTTATCTTTGACACAAAATATGCTGCCTAAATAACGTATGCATAAAGAGCTTGCAGCTGTGGTAAGACGATCACAAGGATGCTACAAAATAAATTAATTAAAAAAAAAATGAGAGACAGGATTTCAAAGTACCCTTACTTCGCATAACAAATACTTGTATAATTCATACTGAACATTAGGTTAAGATAAGCTAAGAAATTGTGTGATCTTCTATACCTTTTGTGCATTAACATCTACATAAGCACGAGGACGCATTTAAAGCCCATCTCTTACAGACTCAGGATTTAACTTCTGTAAATGTTGATGCACAAAAATCGTGTATTAGATTCATTCTTATTTAAAAGTATATGACTAATTTGGTGATTCTACGATATGTTGTTTTCCGCTTATAGAATCCGGTTTCGTATTGATTTTACCTTGCTTATGTGTTATGTTTTGATAAAAAGGTAACTTGGGCCGTTATTGCAATTAGCCTTTTTGCATGGTGTCAGAATCACACACATTAACAAGAACTTTCGGTAGGATATCAAAAGTACCCGACTGTTCTCAGTGCTCAGTGCTAAAGAAGAACCTAGATAATGAAGAATTCTCTATACTTAAAAGGGCCATAATTCTGTCAAAATCCATGATAAAGTTATTTACCTTTTAACAGTGACCTTTTTGACCGAGTTTATGCAAGAATGCCAGTTTTATATTGTTAATCATATGAATTATCTTTATCATGGAATTTTGTCCAAAAATCATCATTTAATGGCGACCATCTTGAATTTTGAAGCCATATTAAATTGTCTACCGATGCTACTTAAGCATTTTTGCAAGAAATTTCTATTTTGTAACCTACAATGCCAATTTATACCATTTTGATTTCATAAATAACTCCATTTTGACATGTCCCATGTCCATTGTACATTTTGGCGGCCATCTTGGATTTTTAAAAAGTGGATCACAGGCTGAAATGAATTGAAATACTGTTACCTACCACCATGTCAAGTTTCATGCTTTCCACAGAAGGTGCACAATTATTTTACTGATTTCAAACAACTGAATTCCTTTTGCTACGGATTAACAATTTTCGGTTGGTTAAATCTTTTTCAACATAACATCTGACACGCGGCAAAATGAAACATAGAACAGAACAGAACAGAACAGAACAGAACATTATTTTATTTCGACTTGTACATAGTACATAATCATAATCATACATAGTGTGATAATACATTGCAATACAACAACAACAACAACAACAACAACATTTATTCAGCATAAAGCGATATCTAACATCACTTCTAGCCTACATATTAACATCTGTAGTAGTTACACATGAAATATAAACACTACCATAAGACAAGAGAAAAGTCACAAATAAACAAGAACAGTAATTTAAGAGAGAAACTGTTTTGTTTAGTCAGAATTGGAATAAATTATTAAGTACAAAATGTAAAAAAGGAAAAATAAAATATATGAAATAATTTTATTTTTTCAATAAAAACTAGATGAAAGCTGATAATTAGTTATTCAAGTTCTTTTCGAAGTTTATTTGCAAAGTATAAGTATTTCGAGAGATTTGCTATTTCTTTTTTATTTTTTGTCATCATCAAATGATCAAATTTATTTAAAGATGGCCATGTATAATAATTACGTCGCAGATATTTCTTTCTAATATTTGAGTATAATGGACAAGTTAATAGGAAGTGATATTCGTTTTCAACCACATTTAGATTACAAAATTGACATATTCTTTCACTTCTTATTACATTATTATACCTTCCTCGTTCAATTTCTAGGTTATGTGATGACAGACGAAACCTAGTTAGTGCTATTTTGAATTTTTTGTCTATCGAATAATTATCAAGATATGATTCAAGTTCAAATGAATGTTTAAATCTACTATAAGTTAGAAGTCTCTGTGAGTTATTAATTTCACTGTACCAAAACTGGGTGTATTGATCAAAAATTCTTTGTTTAATAGCATTTAATATATATATTCCTGATTTCCTTGATTTCGCCATATATCTGACATCCCTAAATTATCTAACATTGTTTTTATTTGAAATGCCCAATTAGAACCGTTATATGTAATATTTCTATCTAAATCACTAACTATCATGTTATACATGTGTTTAACAGCAGAATTGCCATTCAAGTTTTGTATTCTACACCAATACCTACTGTAATCATATTAACCTTTCTTACTATTTTCATTGGAAATCTACCGAGTTCACCATATAGTCCGATTAAGTTTGTAGAATTATTTACGACAAGTATTTTTCGACAGAATTTAGTGTGAATCAGCTCAATATCTTTACCTTCGTTTCCACCCCATATTTCCGAGCAGTAGTTTAATATAGATGAAATCATTGTATCAAATAATTTACATTTTTCAGAAACCTTAAATTCGAATTGATTAAACACAGAAAATAAACGATATAAAGCTTTTGACGCATGCTCTGCAATACATTTTTGCGTTCTATACCAATTACCGTTTTTAAAAAAATAAACACCCAAGTATTTAAAGGATGAAACCACCTCTAGTTTTTCGCCATAAAGATAGAAATCGTGATTTGTCGGTCTCCCTTTTTCAAAAATCATGACTTTCGTTTTACTTGTGTTTATTTTTAAACAAAATGTATTGCAATAATTTTCTACATCGTTTAATAAATACTGTAAAGATTCAGGTGTGGTAGTAAATAATACTTGGTCATCAGCATATAATATTAAGAAAAATTTAAGTTCGTTAAATGAAAATATACCGTCAATGTCCGTATTTATATGTTCCATTATGTCATTCACGAACATCATGAACATAAGAGAAGAACTCGGGTCTCCCTGTTTGACCCCTTGATGTGAGTTGATGAAACTGGAATGGATTTTTCCATTATGTTTCAATGCAGAGCGAACAACAGAATACATAGATTTTATAGCATTAATCATTTTTGTACTTATGTTTTGATTTATCAATTTTTGCCATAGTATAGATCGGTTAATCTTATCGAAACATTTTTCGTAATCAATAAATATTGTATAAAGTTTTTTACCGCTATTTAATACTTTTGATATGATAGAATGTAAAATAAATATACAGTCTACCGTACTTTTTCCCTTTTGAAAACCAAATTGACAATTTGATAATTTTTCATACTTTTCACTCCATGCGGTTAATCTATTTAGGAGTATTTGCGAGTAGATTTTTGACAAGATGTTATTTAGTGTAATACCTCGATAATTCTTCGCTTCCTTCTGATCCCCACCTTTAAATATAGGCACAATATAACCTAACCCCCATGATTCAGGATATTCTGCTGTGTCAAATATTTTATTGAAAAGAACAACCAGGTATTGTGAAATAATATCGTATGACGTTTTAATAATTTCTGCTGAAATATTATCCGGACCGGGTGATTTAAAACTATTTTGTTTAAATACAGCCTTTTTTATCTCCGATTCAGTAATTGGTAAATTTAACTCTTCATCTTCGACATTTTCTGTATATAGATCTTCATCTATTATGTTTTGTGTTGTATTTTCACCTAAAAGATTGTTGAAATGGTCATGTAATTCTTCAATACTTATTTCAGCATTATTAGAATTTGACTTTTTATTGGACTGTTTTATAGATTTCCAGAATTTTCTGGGTTCCTTTAAGGCTATGCTTTCTAATTTTTGCCCTTCTTGTAATTTAAAGCGATATTTTGTTTTTTGCTTGACCTTATTATATTTATTACGGAATTTATTGAAGTTCATTCTATTTTCTAAAGTATTATTCTTTAAAAATGCATTTCTTGCTTTTTTAAAATCTTTTTTGCATTATATAGCAATTTTCATTAAACCATTTTGGACGTGCATGATTTTGTGTGTGTTTTCCATTGTGACGAGAATGTTTGCCAAACGTCGATAATGCATTTGTGTGCAATAATTCTGTTAAACTTGTAACTTGATTGTCAATAGATAAATCACAATAATTTCCTGAATACGTTTTACAAATATCATTTAAAATAGATGAACGAAATAAATCAACTTTACTTTCATCCCACACTATTTTTGTTGCATTATCACACTTTGAACTGTTTCCTTCATTTATGTTATAAAATCTATGATTTTTCAATTTTAGAGAAAAATATAAACCTGCATGATCAGAAAAGACTGTCCATTCTTTGATAATAAAATTCAAAACAATGTTAAATGCATTTTTATCAACAATAAAATAATCTGTTACGCTTAAACCACGTGAGGAGCTAAAGGTAAAATTGCCTAATCCACGGTCGCTGTGCATTCGGCCATTGGCTATGACATGATTAGTTGATTTACATAGTAAGGTTAATCTCCGCCCATAAGAATCAATATGGTGATCGCTATTGGTGCGGTCATAAATAATACATTGATCATTAAAAAAATATTATCTTCATCGTCAAGATATTTATCATATTCTAAAATATCAGATAAGTTCCCAGTCCTAGAATTAAGATCTCCAGTAATGAAGGTTTTACCTAAATTATTATATTTTTCTATTCCCTTTTCTATTTCGTCAAAAAAATCAAAATCTTTATCATACAAAAATTTAGAACCAGGTGGTGGAATATAAGCATTACATATGTATACATTTTCTTCAAGGTCGAGTAAATCTTTGTTAATTTTTAGCCAAATAATACCATACTTGTGAGTCTCTACAATAGAAATATTTGAACTAAATTCATCTTTAAAATAAACAGATATTCCTCCGCTATAGCGTCCTTTCTTGGTGCCACTTGATTTATTTCCATATAAATGAAAACTTTGATAACCGTTTATTTCTAAATTAAACATGTATTTTTCACTAATCCAAGTCTCACAAAATAACAAGATATCGTAGCTGCTTATATAGTCTAAAAATTCCTCATCATTTAATTTTCTTGATAACCCGTTTAAATTCCACACAAGAATTCGTAGTTCCTCTTGCTCTTCCTAGCTTGTAATCTCGTGGAATGGTCCCTCGGCATGATCACTGACTAAAAGTTTTGCTCCAGCCCATTTGACGAATCTGCCATTTTTCTTTTCACGATCCATAATGGAATAGAGTTCTTTTCTTTTGGCCAGCACAGCTCTAGTTTGTTGAACGCCGACGCCTTTCTTTTTCATTTTTAATTCCGCGAACTTGTCATTTGCAGTTTTACGTACCAATTCTCTATCTTTCCATTCCAAAAATTTAACGACAACAGGTCGTATTCCTTTACCTTTGTTGGTACCGATTCGATGGGCTCTTTCAATATTTATTTCCTTTTGGTCGATGCCTAGGTCATGTTTAATGAAATTTTGTATGAGTGCTTCGCAGTTTTCGTCTGGTGATTCGTTAAATCCATGAAACAACAGATTGTCCCTTAAACTACGGGCTTCCAAGTCATTGACTTTGTTGTTCAGTTGCATATTGTCCGTTTCTAGAGAGCTAACTTGTTTCTCAAATGATATGCACATGTCTCCGAATTTTTTAATGTCAGATTTTGAATTGGCTAATTTTTTCTTTGTTTCTTCAAACTCGTTACTGAGAAATGCGGCTGCTGATTCTGTTTCATTTACACGAATGTCCATAGTTCTATATTTGTTTTCGAGTTCATCTACTTTCAGGCAAATTCTATTTACTGTTTTTTCAATTCCATCGATCTTTTCTACGGATTTTTTGATCATTTTTATGTCCGTATTTATTACTTTTATGTTCTCAATGAGTTCAGTGGCCCATGTCGGCGGTGTTGGGGAAAACTGCTGCTGCATCGGCTGTAACTGAGTGTAACTATAAGTTGGAGATGGCGAAAATTGACTTCCGTATTGTGGATTGGTAAATGTCGCAACATTTGTAGCCACATTTTGTCCAGTAAAATTTTCATTTTGCATTTTGTTGATATCAAATATGAAATGTTCAGGAGAAGAAGTATGCAAACGTTTGTTTTGAATACTCACATCAGATACACATGACTGTCCGACACAATAACCTGTTTGTCCACTTTGTGCGTGTTGATCAATATCCCGTGTATTGTCCGTGTTCGTATCCGTGTAAAGTGGCGAGATAACCTTTCGTTTACCACGTTTATTTTTCTTTGTTGAGTCTTTTTGTGACAAATTATTCTTAGCAGGCATGTAGATAAAGTATTAGTATCTTTTCACCAACAAATTAATGAAAAAATTAATCCACTTTTTGCGAAATTTCCAGTTTTTACTCCGAAATATGGAGAGTTCAAATTTCATGTCTTGCCACTACATCACGTGACCATAATAATATATACATTATTATACATTACAATACATTTTCAATACTAATTTCCAATGCATTAAAACAAACTTTAAAGACAATGTCACGTTACTTTAGTTATTATTTTAGAATGTTATTTCAAATTAACAAAAATTAATATTATAGTGTTGAGGATAAACTGTTTTAAACATAATTAAATATATATGTTTACATAGCAGACATATCTTCAGAAAAATTCTATACATAAAAATGTTGAATGGAATTTATATATTCTTTAATAAAGACATATATATATATTCATAAATCAAATTTATCTGACAGAATTAACAATAGTATTTCTGTAATTTAAAGACTCTTTTATATATTTTGCCAGATTATATAATATATTCTTTCGATTGCTACATAGTAGTTCAATAAACTTTATCATGGAAGGCCTTTTATAGTAGTATTTTTTAATAAACTTTTTTGTAATTTCTAAGAAACATGGGCATATCAATATGAAATGGTATTCGTCCTCTATTTCAACATTGTTACAGCAAAGACAATATCTTTCATTACGTGGCAATCTATTTTGACCATACCTTCCAGTTTGAATTCTCAGTGAATGAGATGACATTCTCATTCTTGTAATAAAAAATCTATAGTGTTTTGGTAAAATATCTAAATAATTTTCATATAATAGTGTTGTTTTACAACTTTTATAAAGATCCAATACTAAACTGTTTTCAATCGCTGTATTCCATTCTTGTCTATAATTATCCAACAGTCTTTGTTTAAACAATCTTGGAAAAATTTAACAATCAACTTTATTAATATTAACAAAATAATCGGAAAACCCATACATATCAAGCATATTCTTAACATCAGTAACCCAATTATTACAACCTTTATGACAATCGTATAAACTTTGTTCATAAACCTTCTGCAAGATAATATCTGTAACTAATAATTTACACCAAAATTTTATAATTCTAACATATCTATTAATGAAAAGCGGATATCTACCTAAATCTCCGTATACGCTTGCGTTACATATAAGTAAGTAAGTAAATTGTTTATTAAAGTGACATGTGTTATTTACAATATAATCATATACAAATATTTTAATAAAGGTATTTAAAACGCCCGGCCTCATGGGCCTATTAGTCACTGTTGACATTTAATACAGTATCTATGTATAGTTCTCAAATATTAAACATAATAGTACAAGTTCAATTTCAAATATATGGACGATGTACATAGAATAGTATATTTTCACTTTCATAATTATCAAGTAAATTAAGCAACTACAGTCGAACTTCGTTCGCTCGAATTCGGAGGGCCTGTACAAATTTGTTCGAGAGATCGGTAGTTCGAGCCAACCGAGGTTGAACTATTATTACATAGAACAAAGGCCTCAAGGTTTTCAAACTTACATCGGTCAAATGATAAATACGTCAATATAATTGTTTGCTAGTACATTCATTTGTTGAATACATCCTAGTAAGAATTATTATCCTATTGAAAACAGGTTTAACGGTCACTGTCATGCATATTGTAATTGGTTGGGTTCGATTGGGCGATCATTATCCAAACTGTGAACAATGTTCAAAATATATTTATATGTTTATTATGGGATGAATTTTATTTTAAACAATGCATTAATGAAATATTAACAAAAGAACATTTTACAGCAGCATATTTTTGTAGTCATTTACTAAAATAAACACACGTACAAGTATCATTCTATAAATAGATTACACTGTTACAATTCATATTACATGAACCATGGTTGTAATTAAAGCCGTCCAGGTAAAGGTCATTTATTTATTGACTTTTGCGCATTTCAGGGGTTATTTTCTTTTTATTATTAATACAGACGGCAAATATACAATTTTATCATAACAAACAAATCGGTTTCAACACCTTTTAATTTGTATCAATTAACCTTAATTGCCCTTGTCACCATCATGAGGTGTTAAAAACATGTGTTGCCGGCTGTCAATTATTTAGAACATGTCGACCCGCAACTTTTGTTAGTCTTTTTGTGTTCAACCAAAAAGGTGTGATTTACACTATATTTCTTCCGAAGGGACCAGAGATCAGGTTCGAGAGTTCGAGCGATGGGTGTTCGAGCGATCCGAGGTAGAACAATATATATTATATAGGAATTTTGCCGGGACTGGGCGATGAGTTCGAGCGAAGGGAGGTATTCGAGCGATCCGAGTTCGAGCGAACGAAGTTTAACTGTAGATATATGAGTAATTGATGGAATTAAATATAAGTGATACACATATATATGTTCTGTGCAAATCGCTATGAGTATATAAGGCTTCGTCTAAACATAAAAGCTTTCACAATATATTTTGCTGTTTTTCTAGCATTTTCATTTACTAAAAAGGTCAGTCTATCTTCTTTATTTTTATTAATATAGGATGGATCTGACAATAAATCTTCGAACACTTGCTGTCTTATATTATCATATTTTGTGCATTCTACGAGAAAATGAGTTTCATTTTCTATTTGTTCTTGGTCACAGAATGTACATATTCTCTGGTTTACATTTTCACCAATAAAACGTCCTGTTTCTACTCTTAAGGGTAAAATCCCACACCGAAACTGTGCTAACATCGAGCGCTCATTCTTCTCTAAATTTAATACTATGTATTGTTCGGTTTTAAAATTTGTTTTAAATAATTTATATGTTCGTAGTTTTGGGCTATTTTGTACAGAGGTATACCATTGTTCGTTAAACAGACTTAATATTTTTTCATTTGCTAGTTTAAATCAACTGGTCTCTTTTCTGTAAAATAGGTACTAAGACCCAGCGATACCATTATTTGTTTAATATCGTTAGACCAATTACTTTGGCATATATTATAGTCTGCAGTGAAAACTTTTTTAGGTAGTCTTTGGTCGTCCATGTTCATTAATTTATTCCAATAGCGTAGCATATTTATCCACCTTCTGAATTTGCTTGGTAACCACCCGATATCCCCTGTAATGGCCGCTACGGGTGCGAATCTGTGTAATCCTAAAAAGTATCTTACAGCTCTATTTTGCACACTGTCTAATGTTTGATATTCTTTGTATCCCCATACACTTGAACAATAATCTAGCACTGGCACCACACAATTGTAGAACAATTTTTCGAATGATTTAAAACCAATACCTTTCGAATGTATTTTGTTAATAACTCTCCCTAAAGCCCTGCCTGCCGCCTTACTCAGTGTTTGACTGTGTGCGATATAGTCTGTATTTTCACTAAAGATTACACCTAGGTATTTATATTCACTAACAGTTTCCAAGGTGTTATTGCCTATATGGAAACTAAAATCTGACCTTGTACGTCTACCTTTACGAAAATGAATACATTTAGATTTCGACGAGTTGATAAGTACCCTCCACTTTTTACACCAAGAGTGTAAAGTATTTAACATAGTTTGCAAGTCGTCACTATTTTGTGCCGTAAAGACAATATCATCAGCGTAAAGAAGAAGTTTATTTTGTCTAACATTTAAAATTCTTTTACAAAATTTCATGTGTATACGTTCTACATACTTTATGGTTAAATGCCTAAAAGTTTTCATATAAAAACAAACATTAAATTTAGAAGAGTTTACTCAATCCGTAAATTTTTTTTTATGCACTTTATTATGTAAATGTGTGAATAATAAATAAAATATTGTTCAAACTAAACCCTTAATTAAAACATTATTCAACATATGTTTGGCCTCTCAAAAGAATTAAAAGGTAAATAAAGATTTTTAAAGCTTAATATGCATCTAGTCATTTTTTTTTGTATTTTAGTATGTTTCCGTTAATATATTTCGTTACGGTTAATTTCCGTAGGTTAAGTACTTTTCACATCATGTCCGTACGTTGTTGAGTAAGCAACACCTTTTAAGATTTTTATTGTTACGTATATCACTTTTAGTATACATGTATAACAATGGATACGTGGCATAAGAAAAAATATGTGAAATGGAATATCTGTCGAAAGATGTAAAAGAAAGATTCGACAACATTTATTTGTTATCGCATAGTTTGGAACTTTTTCTGTGTTAAACTATCCCATTATACTCAGTACACTTTCAATGAGCTTTTGAAAACTGTATTGATATATAATATTGATAATTATGCAACTGCTGAAATCATAAAGTACATCCGCTGAATGAATTATTTCCACTGAAAAAGCTCTGAAATCTTGAATCCGAATATTTTTTTTTCAGTTTACAGTCCGTCTCAATTTTTGGACAGTGTTTTAAATATTATATATAGCTGTAAAGTAGCTTACGACATCATTAGCTGGTATTGGTTTACATTATCTGGGAGTGAGAAGGTGAAAAAGTGAAAGGGCACAAGAGAGAGAAATGCACGTTTTTTGTTGTTGTTTTTCCCCTTTCTATGTGTGTGTGTGTGTGTTTGTGTGTGTGTGTGTGTGCGCGTGTGCGTGCGTGTGTGTGTGTGTGTGCGTGTGCGTGTGCGCGTGCGTGTGCGTGTGCGTGCGTGTGCGTGTGCGTTTGTTTATTTCTTTTCTGATTTCTATTACAAAAAATGTAAGTAACGAGTTTCATATACTATAACTATTACATAAAGCATGCCTGCACAGTTACAATAACAATGTTACGTTATGAGTTAATACTTTAAAGAACACGTGAAACTTCCGTGTTGTACACTGTGCTCGCTTTCAGTTTAGTGAAAATAATGAAAGTAGTCTTCGATTTTGTTTTCACACACATTTTGTCACAATATTTTTCTAGATGAGTTTTCCATGGCCTACTTCAAATCACGTGTCCTGTATCGTTGTAGGTTTGAATCCCGCCAGGGAAATTTGATATTTTTTTCATGCAAGTAAGCTATTTAGCAAGATTATTGAAAGTTGATGACTTAACTCAGCCAGCCCACAAGTGCTTGAAATAAAGCACAAAAGAGTACCTGAGATTCCAGGAATGACGCTATTTGACAGGTGGCAGAATGATGGCTTTGAACTCTAACAAAACAAAACATTTTTTTATTTCTTGATGATGATAAA